CTCTCTCTCTCATAAATCCCATCCCATAAGTGAGAAAAAGGATAAAAATTTAAATATCTTTACATTTCTATGCTTTTATATTTTTCTTGAATTTTTACATTTATTGTATTCTTTTTAATACTAGATTTTTATATTTATAAAGACTTCAAAAAATGTTTTAAGAATTTTTCATTTCTTTTAGTTTTGTTTAGTTTGAATGAGTGTTTGAAATTAATTTTTTTAAATGCAAAACTAATGGATTGCATAGTATGAGAGGAATGACTTTTATATGACATATAAAAACGTCAATAATTCACTTTTAAACACTTTATAATTTAAATAACATACCAGTTTGCAGCAAAATGCATTTTTACATTTAATTATTGAAGTACATTCATATTGAAATAAAAATGCATAAAATTTTTCAACAATTGCTCACTTATTCATTAAAATAAATTTATAAATTATAATCAATTATAATAAGAGTTAAGAATATTTAATATATTAAACATAATAGGAAATAAATTGAATTTTTAAATTAACGTTTAATTTATAAAGAATTTTGAATTAAACATATTTTTCTCGTATGAATAGGTGGTGAAAATGCTTCTCCTTTTGGTGACAGCCTTTGCCATATGTTGGACACCATTACAGATCCTGAACCTCTTGTTATGGATATTTGATTCGCTCCGTCAGGTCGACGATAAATTTCATTACTACTTGTATTTCGCGATTTACTTCTCATGCCATTGGGTCTCGTGTTTGAGTTCAATCATAAACCCTATAATCTATTGCTTTCTCAGCGAAAACTTTAAAGTGAGTATTGTTTGTATAGGTTTTCATTTATAACAACCACTAATTAATTTATTGAAAAATTGTAACATATAATTAGAAAATATTAGCAATGAAAGTTATTGATATAATTGGTTGTATAATATATAAAAGTGAAAGCCTTTTTAATAATAGACATTAGACAACATTATTAATATGATGCTTTTGTCAATATACAAAATATGCAAATTGTGAACAAAATTATAGTAAGTTTTCTATTATAGAATATACAGGAAATTAAAAATTTTTACAACATCAACATTTGCTTTGATTACAATAAGCTAGTACAGCATATAATATAAAAACCAAAATTAATTGAAATTAAATACTATTATATATCTAAATAAATTAAGCTGTTTAATTAATTCAAAAGCAATTTCTCGGAAAAGTTAAAATAATTTGTTTAAACAATTTAGAAAATATTGCTGATATAAAAATGTTAGTATAATTGACAACAGCTTTACATTTGATGACAACATAAATATAAATGAAATATAAAATGCTATCGTTGTTAACATAAATCTTGAATGTATTTGGTTTTCAGTTGAAAGACTTGATAAACATAATGACATGCAATGAAAGGCGAAACAATGAGAGATATCGACATTCGGTTGGAAACCAGAATTCATTGCCAGCTATTCGTAGGAAACAAATCCACATTAGATTTAACGCAAACACCGAACAAACCATTTGATTGACACACAAATAATTTGCACACATTTTTCTTTCCCTGTATTCCGTATTAATATTTTATTATTTTTATTGTAAATGGGCATGCTAAATGTTTAGTTTTTCATCAAATATATATACCTATTTAAATGATTAATATTTATAACAAATAATCGTAAATACAAGTTTCTTTATATCATATTTAATAGTAAATTACATTATGTTTATTAATTGAATAGAATTATTGTATTTATTAATAATTATTATTTATCTGTATGAAGTAATTTATAAAACACTAAAATCCATATTGTTTTAGTATAAATTGCTATGTTTGCCTAAAATATAAGTTTTTAAACTCCTTTCTCTGTGAAAGTCATGTAAAATAATAATAAATTATTAATAATAAACTCAATAAAACTTTATTGAATAAGTGACCACTCAATTATCAACACATCAAGTGTTGGTGCTTTGCAATGCCCAGGGAGGGTTTTCTGTAATATCAATATTTTTGAACAAATTCTGCAATGTTTTTAATATTTATTATTAAACATAATCTTTCAATATGATATATATTTAGTATCGTATTTTATATAATTGTGTTTGCTTTATAGTTGATTTGTATACATTAGTATTAATATGATTTAATATAACTTTCTTGTTTATGTGCAGTATGTCGGACACTTATATTAAATTGACTGCTTAGGTTTATAAGTTAGGCACTTACATTTTGGTTAATATAATACATTTGAGAAATGCTATTTAAACAAATTTAATGAATAAGAGTAATGAATAATTTTGCAGAAAATACATATTTATTCAACGAATTTAGTGACAATTACTTTCATATTATTTGCGATTTTTATAGAAATGGTTTGTTTAGAGAGAAACTAAAACAGAGATTTTTGTGACTTTACAGCTTTTTGACAACATTTTGACAACATCAACATTTGCTTTGATTACAATAAGTTAATAAGTATATAATATAAAAACCAAGATTAATTGAATACTATCATACTGTATATCTAAACAAATTAAGCTATTTAATTAATTCAAAAGCAATTTCTCGGAGAAGTTGAAATAGTTATTTATTTAAACAATTTAGATAATATTGTTGATATAAAAATGATAGTCGGTTTCATAACAGCTTTACATTTTATTAAAACATAAATATAAATTTAATTTAATATCCTATCTTTAACCATAAATCTTGAATGTATTAATCAGATGCCAACGAATGAGGGATTCAACATTTAATATTCACAATAATTGTCACTAGTGTTGTATATTTTTAATAAATTTATAAATTTTATACATAGCTACAGATATTTTTAAAATTATAAAATTTTTTCTAATGCATATTCTAAGTTAATTTATTAAAAAATTATTTTTTAAACTTCATGTTCATTTGTATGTAATCGACTACTTGTAATTAAAATCCTACATTTATTACTTTATACAGATAATTATTTAATGATATATGATTTATTATAATACTTATCATCATTGTTTTAAATATACGTGAGTTCAACGATAATTAATTGTTATATGTTTTATTAAATAAAAAATTTTATCAATAAAAAAAATGCTATTTTATTTATTTCTAATAAATACAGTTAACAATATCATTTACACAATATAAATGCTATGAAAAGACTTATTGAATAAAGTTTCATTTTAATCATAATAATAAGATAATTAAAACAACATTCATAAAAATAACATACAAGTGGTGACTAGAGTGTACTCAAACTCCTAATTATTATATAACTAGACCAAATTAATATTTTAATCGTTTTAACTCAACTACAGCATTAAGAATATTTAATTATCAACTCATTAGGGCATGAATTCAAATAACTATATTATACTGTACTTACAATAAGTTGCAATATAACTCAGTAATTAAAAATATGTACAACATTTTACAAAAACATAATTTTGTGATGAGTCTGAGTGTCAGACACTTTATGACTAAAACTACAAACAATGGCATCACATCTCATACCCGACACAACCCTATGACCGACTCTTTTGGAAATAATATTCTCAATATTCATTAGTTTCATTCAATTGGATAAATATTTGTGCTTGCTTGCAACTGTTTCCTAATGAATGTTTACCATTTTCAAAATCATTATAAAACCATCAGGATAGTAGCTAAACTCAAAAATATGTCATTCTTTTCAAATTAATTTACTTCTTTTGGCGCCGGTATACCACTATCTCGCTTATCAAGAGTTATAGGCTGTCCTTATATTGGTTTACAATATTGATATAAATGTGATAATTATTATTAAATCCTGTTTTCATAATTAATATTTAAATTACTAAAAACACATATAAGCTATTGATATTTAAGTAGTATTTAAATATCAAATGATTATATTACCTTTGAAACTGATTAAAAATGTTTTAACTTTTATATATAATATAAATATATTATATTTCATTTAAAACCCTTGAATCCTTTGCAAATCTTAAAGCATCATTTTATACTATTATAGTATTTATAATATTATTAGTATGTTTACTATTTTATAAAATATACTTAACACTAGAAAATAAATTTCATTATAAGTTATAAGTTATAGCCATAAAACTTTAGGGAATAGGTTGGAAATAGTATATATATTAGAAAAATATTAAAATGTATTACTGTAATTGTCAGCATGTGTAGAAGCATAAATATATATATACATAGTATATATATATTATATAGTAAGAGTTGCAAACACTGAATAATCACATTTGAATGAGAATCTGATTATAATACTTGTGTCCATAAGTGTCGGTCAAAAGATTATCAATTATGAAAAGTCACATAATGTGAGTATAAGTGATGACATAAACCGGCTATAAATGTATGGGTTTATCAGAAAATGATTTGAAAAGTATGTTAAAAATGTGAGAAAATATATGATTAACATTGCAATATGAAATCATAATTCATTTACTACAACATCCAAATCGTTTGGGCTTCTCATCGGTTAAGGTGAGGGCGCTTTGGATGAGGTTATCCTCGTTTTGTGTCATAATTTTGATCAACTGAGCGATGGATGACATGATATTATTGCCGTCCTTACAACTGGTCTCCACAAACATAAGGCCGTACTGTTGGGCTATTTTATAGCCGTCCTCTGCCTTCACATACTTCAGATCCTGTGCCATAAGCG